GAGATAACCAGAAGGTTTAATGAGTGTATTCTTTCTCCAACCCAGGCAGACTGGATCTAATAAAAGACACTTCGTCTGAATCTCATCTGAGCACTCCAAAGCAGATCTTGTAGCAACTCAAAAGATGTTTGTGCCATAGCTGGGTAATGCAAGCCAGTCTGTGCTAGGGAAAACAATCAGACTTTGAAAGAACAGTCATATGGAGTATGCCTTAGAAGGAACAGAGATTTCCATGGCAAGTGAGTTCAAAAGTAGCATAGATGATTCTGAGTAAGAGTTATGAAGCATTTTCAACAGAAAAATCCCTTCCCCTCCAAATATCCAAGCCCTGAGGATCATTTCAAACAAACCCTTCCTCCATTTCAGCTTAATGGCAAAATCTGATCTTGAGAAGTGCTCATCACTTCCTCCTCTAAGTACCACTTAACACAGAACAGGACTTCATAATAATAGAAATCTCACTGAAAAATGCAAAAGCAAGGCAGATGGCAGAGGAAGAAAGTCCCCAAGTCCACATTAAGTGTTCTGTAATAAGCAGAATTTTATTTAAAGAAAGGAAACGAAACAAAGATCGTGCAACAATTTCTAACAAGTCACCACTTACCCGTAAGACACAATCGACCTCCTAACCTTTTCTTAATCTATGTTCAATGTAAGGTATTGAAAAGAAATTAAATCTATCCTGTACAGATTTCTCAGAATTACAGATAATTTGCCTAAATTTCAAATGATATTTTTAAACTACTATTTGCTAGCTTTAATAATGTTTGAACAACTGTGAAAGCATGAACAGCCTTAATTTCTTTATTTTTTTTTTGTAAGTCTGTGTATGAGAAAAAAATAGCTCTTCCTAGGTCAGCAAGAACTTCTACTGCCTATAAGAATTTCTCTTACCTATGATATCAAGCTTAAAATATAAAGAGACAATTACCAGGCTGCTTATGGGAAGAGTAGTAAATCAAAAGTTTTTCTGACTTGAAACGAACAAACTGCAGGTGACAATTTTACTGCAAACTAAGTTCAGTGGTGCTCATCTGCTGAGACCCTGGAAAAAGCTTTATGCAGTAGTCAAATAGCAAACACTTCCTTACATAAACCCCTTGTACTCCACAGTTCAGACAATCTACACGGATTTTTAAACAGACCTCTTGATTTAATAAAATCGCTTTTTCAATCCTATTCTCTATGAAATTTAGTTACAAATGAACAACAGAGCAGCAGTTAAGCAAATGACAATAAAATGTTTCTATATATTTTTAGAGTAAGAATGATTATTTACAATCAATAGATTAGTAACTTCTTACAAATAGTTATTATGATCATTTTTTTAATCTTTCCTTTAATCTTGTCAAATAAAGTTGTTTAGCTGATAGATCTCTTACTGTAAATCTGAGAAGGTGGTTCTTAAGGACAGTTTGTACGTTAAGTTGTGTTTGTAGGAACTTAAGTGTTTCTCAAGGGCAGATTTTGTCTCATCTTTTTCAGAAGGTGCCAGAAACCAAAGACAAAATGTAGAAAGAATTATTTTCAAGCAGTTCAACTTCTGGGGACCTTTTAAAGTAACTTAATGATTTTTAACTTTTGATCAACTTCTGCTCTACAATCACTTAAAGTAGTCTTATAGACTATATTAATTTTTTATTTTATTTTTTATTATTGTTCCTTTAGGCCAGAAATCTGAAAAGCATTAAATCATAATAAATATACATTCACACATATATAGAAACATACTCCATTAGTATCTTCTTAAATAATATTTATATTTCCTTCTCCTTTTTTTAAAAATTAAATGTAATCTCTATTAAGACATGCTACAGTAGATCATAGTTTTATGCTGTATATTAAAAACTGAATGAAGAACACTTTCTATTTCCTGGTCTAAAATAATTTCATCAAACCATTTTGATCAGTTTTGTCAATGTCCTTGAAGCAGCTTCCAAAAAGCTGCTTAACTACATCATCATTTTGACTTTTAAGACTGCAGAACAGAATTGATGAAGCACAGAAAACATCTATATATAACCTATTACTGCTCAAGATACTCTAACAATGTTATCAACCACTTCTGAAATACCCGATAAAATAAAGAGGGAGGGCAGAGAACATACAATGTTATTTTTCATCTCAAGAGATGCTGCAGTGGAGAGGCACAGAGGGAAGAGTAACAAAGGAGAATGGGTTTAGTCTAGATTTAAGAAAAAATACAGCATTACAGAGCCAAAGACTGAACTTAAATTATATTCACTCATTTTACCATGAGTAAAATCTCACCAAAATTACAGTCTCTGAACACCTTTGTGAAGCTGTTAAAAGACAGATGCTGTGCAACTGCAGCACTCCTTTAAGGAGAAGTGACACCATAAAAGCAGAGTCTGCAGCTGCTCACAAGCTGCTCATGAGTCATGAGATCTGGGATAGGCAAGTCATATTGGCTCTGACATTTACTGGGGAATGAAATATCCACAGTTGGTTTCAAATTACGTTATTTGAGAGTGCTCCTGTACTTAAAGAAAGTGAAAGGCAATTTTGATTTCCTTCTTCAAACAGAAAATGGTTGAATCGTTCACAGATACTTCTTACAGTATTTCTGCTGTTCTGAAGAGAGAGGCAGCATGAACTATGTCAAAGTCAATTAAGGGACAGATAACAGTAAGTAATTTGCTCCTAATAAGCAAATACTGTTCACTGAACAGTTCACTTTTCAGACACCATGTTATATTTGTTATCCAAACACTAAGCTAGCATTTGGAAATATTTTAAAAGTTCACACATTTTCTTATTTTGCATTAAGCCTCTGTAAAAGCATGAATGGCTGCTCCTTTAATGACTTATTTTAACATGCTGGAATTGTCTCAAAACAAGCATGCAACCCACGAGTTTTCATCTTCTCTACAAGCAATGTCTGAATTTTTGCCCTTTCATACTGACTCGTTAAATTTGCCATGTCAGGAAAGAGAATGACACTGCTCTGGGTATCAGAAGGTTATAATTTTGGAAGCCAACATCATCCAGCTTTCTTGATAAGATAATAGGAAAGAATTTGATTTTCAACCTTGTCCACTTTCTACATAAGGAAGTCACTGCCAAATCATGAGCCACAGCAAATGCCAACTGTTGTAAACACCTTTGCATTGAGCAGTTTAATCTACTTCAGTTGAGGAGCAGAGGACAGAGAAAATAGTATCAGCACAGAGAAACAGCTTTTTGGGCCATTTTCCTGGATAGATCTTTGGTAAGAAGACACTACACAAGTTTAATTTTCCGTCTCTTGGCAAACTCAGTTTAAGTGGAATGTTTTCTCCCCTCTTTTTAAGAATACCACCTTCATGGGAGATGTCATCACTGATACATTCAGTCTCCTCTTCCTGCTGCCCCATCCCTTGTTAGCAGGGAAAACGTGCCTCTTATAGATTACATGAAAAAGACCCACTTGCAGCACACAAAGAATGAGCAGCACAACCAAGTCCTTTTTGCAAGAGATATTGGCAACTATTTCTCAGTCTGCTCTGCTATCCTGCAAAACAAGGTGCCATTTCTCTGGGATAACATTCCCAGTATAGGATTAGTGATCCAACCAGTGCTGTGCTAATTGATGGGATGCAGATCTGCAGTTTCATTTCGCTGTTCCACTGCCCCTCTTTACAGTTATACCCTAAGATACACAGGAGCCAGCAACCGGCTGATGAGAGACAGGCAAAGCAAACTATAAAACCCAAATAAACTACTGCAACTCTACTGCCACAGATTTACTTGAATTTCTTAATATGTCCTTTCAAAAGTACCACACATTTCAAAATCTTTAAAAGAAATGATGTAACATCATAAAATGTAAATCAAGTAGGCAAACACATCCACTGCTACTCTGTGAGATCACAGAGAGTTCAGTTCAAGCACTTTCATGCCAAGGGGCAAAGAATGAAATCAGCAGTCAAAGGTCAGCTCCATTAGGACAGTCCCAGCTCAAAGACACAGAAATTACTCTCATCTCATAGATTAGCTTGCAAAGTATTACAGCAGAAAGGAAAGCAAGCAGTGATGTTTAAGGAGAGATTAAAAAACCAAACAAACAACCAGAAAGCAAACAACAGGCACTGGAGAAACAGATTATGTCTGTTTTCTATATTCAGAAAATATGCTCCCAGGGTACTTTAGGAGGCTTCTTTCCACTCTGTATCCTTTCAAAGGACCAAACTTTGCCCATTTCGGGAACAAGGGAGAAGAGCTGCATTTGTACCGTATGCTTAAAAATGACTGCACGGTAAGGAAAGTCCCTAAATTCACAGAAGCACAGACCATGCTGAGTTGGAACGGACCCACAAGGGTCATCAAGTCCAACTCCTGGCCCTGCACGAGACCATCCCCAAGAGTTCCACCATGTGCCTGAATACTAGTATAGTTCAAACGCTTCTTGAACTCTGTCAGGCTTGGTGCCATGACCACTTCTTTGGGGAGCCTGTTCCAGTGCCCAACCACCCTCTGAGTGAATAACCTTTTCCTAATATCTACCCTAAACCTCCCTTGACACAACTTCAGGCCATTCCCTCAGGTCCACAGGAAACCACAGCCAGACCCTCACACCTGGCACATCCTGTACAGCCCAACAAGTGTCACCTGCTGTGATGCCTTTCCCACAGCACCCTAGCAAGCATCCCAGACTCACAAGGGTGAGGACAAAGGAAGAGGGAGGCGGGCACTTCAGCACCATGCCACTTGAGCAGAGCCTTCCCTCACCCTCTGCTCTGTGCTGTTTGCCCATCCAGCCCCTTGCTTAGCACACAGCAGGTGCTCAGGATGTAGCTCAATCCTGCACTCTGCTATGTGCCTATAAAGCTTCTGCGTGCTACAAGAAGAGTAAATTTTCATTAGGAAAGGAAAACAAAAACCTGTGTCTCTACTATTTTCCATGAGTGTTAAAAATATTGTTTTATTGTTTATCATAGACCTAAATCACCAGGTTACAACAGTTACAATCAACCACCAGGTTACAATCAACACTTTACCTGTATAGGTGGCTCAATCATTATCCACGCAGGAAGCATCAAACTTGGGTTAAGAGGTTGAGTTCCTACACGGAAATAAATGCCACCATTGGTGTCACAGGCCCAAACATGCTGATTTCCACAGGTCAAGCTGATCAGCTTTACAGCACCTAATAACAAAGAGAGTATTAGCAACCTGGCATTATCCTTTCAAATTCAGCTAATAATGAGAACTTTTATTTGGACTTCATTATATTAAACTAGCTTTAAACACAGTCACATAAAAATGATTAAAAGTTAATACAAGTTATGAGACCAAAAAAAAAAAAAATCACTGGATGCAATGAATAAAGCTAATAGGCAGTATATATCTGAGAAATTTCTCTTCTAAATCTTAAAATAAATGTTTTAGTCACAGAATACTGCAATTTCTAAAGCACATGAAAAATATGCTATTAAAATAACCAAATTCAAGCAGGGAACCATTCCGTGACAAATGGTATCAGTGCCTAGACAAACTTTCACATGACCTAACATGAACTCTTCTCTGTGGCTGGCCAGGCTTGTAGACTTTTTAAGGTGTTGATCCGCTAATACACATTGAGCAAAGAACATTCCCTAATGCCAGCACTTTAAAAATATGAGAGCATGTGGATTATGCATTTCAGTGTTAACATACCAGTGTCACATCTGTAAATAAAGGAACTCATTTTCAAACGGATTTATATTCACCAGTGTACGTATTTATTACGGCCATTTCAAAAGTGCAGCGGTATTTTAACCCTGTGTAAGTCAGCACCGTGAAAAAAAAGCTGCCAAATAAGTGTGTTTTGGAATTTTGGGGTGGTTTGTGGTTTGGGTTTAGTCTAGATACCTGCAAGGACAGTAGAGAAGTATGCCTGATATTTTAGACTAAAAGAACTCCTAGTTAACTGTCTACTGAAACTCTTTCACATTCATTTTAAAATAGCCATGTGATGTAATATAACTAACATTTTATTTCTTTTTTTCTCCCCCTGTTGGACAATACAATGCTAAGTAACAGAAAACATGTTCCAAAGAACGAGGGACCCATCAGTACAGACACACTACAGAAGGAATGTTCTGGTCAGACTCCAAACTAAAGGCTCTAAAAATAGGCCTTGCTGGTTAACTGAACATGCCAGTGCTGCTTGGGATATCCCATTCTTGGTAACAGTTCACTCTTCAGGTATGTGAAGTCTGGCAACAAACCCTTGTAAAATGCATCAGGCACAGCATTCCTTAAAGAATGGGGTGCAACTTTATCCCACAGAGTGCAAGTTCAAAGCATTTACTTCTGCAAAAGGCAGTATTCACTGTCGTTAAGGCTTGCTGAGGGAAAGAATAGGAAACAACAGGACAACACAGCCTCATTTTTAAATTATCTGTAATAGCAAGCAGATCTCATTAACCAAAATTATTTAACTCTCTGAATCACAGGAATATGAATTAATTATTCTCATCCCAAAATTTCCTTTAATCATACAGCTTCACATTAAAAACAAAATGACAAAACTATACACAAAAAACCTCTACTCCTTGGGTACTTTTTGCAGGGAGGGGCTTGACGTTCAGCTACAAAGTCAAAATCTTACTTTAAACCTTATTATTCCTTCTAACATAACATATGACTCGAAGTAATGGCTTCATCATATGATACCTCAGCTGTTGAAGTGTTCTGATCCAGACAAGCATCAGAGCACTCACACGTGGAATCACATATCACCTACTCGGCACAGCTGATATTATTTACGTCTACAGGACAATTTGATATTCAAAAAAGCCGCCCTTATGTAAATATTGTGGGGTCCCTCCCTCCTCCCTCTTACTATTTGGATCTTAGGAGAAGGTCATGCTAACCACAATCATCTCCTGTTTAGAGCAAGTAGCAGGATTCAAAGGCATTGTTTATTGTTAAAACCTAAAGGTCATTCTACTGTGTTTAGATAGCAGTAGTGGAACTCTAATAAAAATAATTTACTAGGTACTACTCCCAGTACATAGTGTAAAGGCAAGAGGATGATACTACCAACATAATATGAATATTTCAACCCTAATGCTGGCAACCCCATCACTTCATAGAATTCTGAATTGCATTTTTCAGCAAGTTGCTCCCACTTCCTCATGCCCCCCCAATTACAGCCCTAATGTTTCGGGAGTAAACTTAAATATACACCTGAAAAATAACAATAGTTCTCCAATCTCCTCAGCCCCATTAGAGCAAATAAAAGGTCTTGTATTATAGCCATGGATATGCACTTGTCAGCCCTGATCTACCATTTGCAATTAACAGGAGGAAAAATCCCTAAAACATTTTCACATCTCAGTATTAACCCACAAGTGACAGGTAAAGTGGAGTGTTTGAAGTATTTCCTGACCCAGAGCTCTGCTATACCACCACCATGTGCCACAGAGCTGACAAAAACACCTGAATGTAAAGGTTGAAATTCTGAACTGCTGAAGTTCACAGGCCAGATATTACAGTCCACTAACTCCAATTGTGCTGATTTCCTTTATTAATTCTTTTGAGATTTTCAGACAATAGCAAGAACTTATTTATTATTTCTGTTAAACAGTTACTGTCTGAATTGTTGGAAAGCAGTGGTTCATGAAAAAACTTTCAAACTGTATTAAGGAACATGAGAAGGACAGTCGACAAATAGATCCTGTAGGTCAGTGAAGGAAAAAGGCATCAAACAGTGTTTAAACTATGGTATGATGAGTCACTTGGAACCAATTCACGTCATAGAACCACAGAATCAGCTGGGTTGGAAGGGACCTTCGAGATCATCAAGTCCAACCCTTGATCCACTACGGCCGTGGTTACCAGACCATGGCACTGATGCCACATCCAGTCTCATCTTAAAAACCTTCAGAGACGGAGAATCCACTACTTCCCTGGGCAGCCCATTCCAATGCCTGATTACCCTTTCTGTAAAGAATTTCTTCCTAAACCTCCCCTGGCACAGCTTAAGACTGTGCCCTCTTGTCTTGCTGATAGCTGCCTGGGAGAAGAGACCAATCCCCACCCGGCTACAACCTCCTTTCAGGGAGTTGTAGAGAGTGATGAGGCCTCCCCTGAGCCTCCTCTTCTCCAGGCTGATGATGAATCCATCAGGTCTGAAAAACCTGGTGTGCAACTGACAAACAAATTAATTTTAGAATACACATTTTAAAAAGTTTTCCATGAAATATTACAAATTGTACACCAAAATTGTACAATTTTGGTGTACAATTTGGCTTAAAGTGTGCCAGCTGTGTCTGCCTTTCTTCATCCCTGAAGTTAAAGCTGCTTGTCTATTCTCAGACCAGTCATTAACATTTCCATTAAAAACAGAAAAATTGTAAAACAGGTGAATTATTTTTAAAATGGTGTGAGAATGGTGCATAGTCTCAATTTCTTTTATCTTCACTTGAAACAGGAATGCAGGTTAGCATGGAGATAGGAACGTTTTAAGTCAGACTAGCACAGAAATAAATCTGATTGGAATACTGCTGATGAAGTTGACAAGTAACCTGATTACCCCAGAGCCAAACTCCAAAGTGGGAGTATATTTTAATGATCAAAACCTGGTCAACCACCTAAGCAAATGAAAAGAGCAGTTAACCAGCACTATGTATTCTAAGCATTATGCTGAATTACTAGATTAGTATAAACCTGAACATAGGTGTTATCAGCTCTATCACTCATGGATGATGCAACTCTTGGAGCATAATTTTTCCTTGACAGGATCCTAATGCAGATTTTTTCGCACTGTTAAAAACCTGTTTTTAATCACAACATTCAGGGCTTTGTGTATGGAACTGCCCGAGACCAGGTGATTATGGTTACACTGCAGAACAAGAGTCAGACTAGTTAAAGCTGCTGGTAAACCTGCACAGCACCGTGTCAGGCTGAGCCATCTCAGACTGACCAACTGCAAATTGCACAGACACACATAAATTATCTTGCAAACAGTAAACATGATGTCCACAGGAAAAGGCTAAACAGAACACTGCTTGAAAGCCACAATCCTCTGCCGTGAGGCCCATTATTGTAAGTTACTATTTGATCCAGTAAATGTTACATCCTATATCAGTAAACTGAAGGATACTTAAGGAAAACATTGACAGTATGCTACGGGTTAAGAGACATTCTACTCAATAAAAATGTCATACCTAGTTGGGTGAGATCCAGTTTTGTCCAATGCATCCCTGTTGGGCAGCTGGATGAAAGTGTTCTGATAAATATCTGCCCAAGACTATCCAAACCCCAAATGGCATCCTGGCAGGCAGAGTAGTGCACCATCTCAGCCTCTGGTGGCAGCTGGACTGTAGAAGGACGAAACTGAGGATTCTGATCACTGACACAAAACAGATCCTTGTTGCTTTGGCACAGCCACAGAAAGCTTCCTACGGAAAGGACATTTCTGTTATTAAAATAATTCCTAATCCACTCTGAGAAAGCTTACACATTTACTTTGTTCTGAAAAAAAATGATCAGTGCATTCGAAGGCAAAACTAAAGCTTCTTGGCTATGTTCATAAGGTAAGACTTTGCAGTAAAAATACACATCCTAAGCCCTTATTTAGGCACTTAAATACTTTTTTCTCAAATCAAGTACTAAGTGATCTCATTTGAAGAAATGTTTCATTTGAAGAAACTAACAGAGAAAAGACACACGTAACAATGCACTATCACCTCCCTTTATTCTTTTGCTCTTATCCTTTGAACACAAAGTATTCTTTTTCAGCTCTAAATCATATATTTTTGCCAATAAAGCCAGTGTACTTAGATAATGGAATTGCTAACTATTGTAACTAGAAGTTCAATTCCCTAGCGTGGTCTCCATTCTACTGATGAAATGTGCAATTTTGCTGCAATAACTGTACTGACAGGGGAAACACTCGGTTAGTACAGGCATTCCAGCAGAGCATGCTCCAAGATTTCCTATTACAAATTCTGTTGATTCATGCATCGGCAATTTAGGGAGTTACTGCTCTTAAAGAACTGCCCAGTTCTCTGTTGGATGCCACTCCACACCAAAGGTGAGAGAGAATAATATGTTATTTTAATCTCCAGTAGTTTTACAGACATATTTTCACCCTACTTCAAATACTTTAGATCCCTGCACATAGAAGAGACACCCAAAATTTGAAGCAATTCAGGACATTTAATTACTTACACCATCAATTCCACTCTATTTAAAAATCCGATATTATATGCCTGCACTGTTGATTCACTAACCTTCTTTAGATGAAGCTGTGGAAGCCAACACAAAAATCCACTTTGTGGCAGAAGCAGTACCACGAGGCACAATATTATTCCAATAAGTGCCTTGAAAGAAAGGACAGGGTGGCATTAATATGAAACTTAATTTTCTCTTAAAATTTGTTGTTACTTAAAATGTTACAGTTTGAAAGAAATTCTATTGCGATCAATTATTAAATATCATTTTGACAAGATTTTCTATGTAAATCTTGTAAGAAACTGTTGAGGGGAGGGGGAAAACTTCCTCCTGATACATATGTATACACACAGAGAGAAAACTAGGAATGCAGAAAAGGATCAAGGACAAGATTAGTTGTCTTCAACAGGGGACCAATTTGGTCATGAGGTTAAACAATGTCCTAGGCCTATTGTTAGCATTTACCTGGATGAAGAAATGTACCAAATCAAAATTCTATTTTGAGAAATAAAGCAAGAAAAATAAAGCAATTCCTCTACTAGCACTGTAAAACCATAACATTACTGTTTTGCATAGTCACACTGATGGTGAACCAGACTCCATTGTGCTAAATAAAACTTAAGCTTAAGACTGCCTTCTCATCCCAGAGAAGAGACTTCTCATCCCAGAGAAGTGTAGGTGTTAGAAGGAGTTACTTGTGCACAGCTCACCAGCTGACAACGACTTTTCCACAAAAAATATTTCCCTTTAAATGAGAAAGTATTTAAGACTAAATGCTAATGAATCATTTAATTTAATTTTTAAACATGTTTGTTAAAGCTGCCCTGACTTGCCACGGGTAATTTTTGTGGTGCCGTAGTTAGTTATTTCCTCCTAATTTTCTTAACTTAAAAATATTAGATGTAAAAACACACCAACCTATTAAGTTTCCCTTTGCTACATGGAATTCATTTTTGCCTGAAGAGATCCAGACTCCACTGCCATTAACTCCGAGGAGGCTGGGCTGACACTGAAGCTGCTGTGACCAAAATGCCATTCGAAGCTTATCAGCCACCTTCTCCACAGGTGCCTGAGCTGCTGTTGCCACTGTATGAGTTGCCTGGATTATTGTCTGGAACAGGCTGCACTGGTCAAACACTACGTAATCAGTGATGCTCACCTGGGGGAAAAAAAAGTGCTCTTGATAATTAATTAAGCTTTTGGCTGAACTGCACAGAAGCTGTTTTTTTTGGTGTGTGTTCTTTATGGACAGGAAATCTACCAAGAGTTTAGAAAGCTTCAAAGTGCAGGAGGGGAAAAATAAAAAAGGTACATTTTGAATAAGTGTCTTGCTAATAAACCACAATCAATATTAAGCATCAGCTTACAACTCCCTCCTACCCAACAATCCATTTAGAATTCTGCATTTATAAAAGCTCTTCTTTTTAGGATGTCACCTCTTCTCTGCCTCTCAAAACATGTTGAACTCTGCAAACCAAGAGGTGAATTTTCAATTTGCCAAAGGAAGAGAAAAATTTGAGCAGTGTGGCAATTCAAACCACATCACAAAAACTTGTATGCAATACTCCTTTACAACAACCTCATGGACATTTTAATTCATAATGAAGGAGGTGGTCTAAGTAAGCAATTGCCCAAGTTTGGCCACAGACAACTAGGTTGGCAACACTGGGATACTCTTAGAAAGGAAGGAAATGCCTAAGAGCACAAGAGAACCAGTTTGCCAATAACCTCAAAGCCAAGCTACTCATGATGCCCACATGCAAGAAGAGATTATATATACACATAAACTGAAATTCTTTTAACTTAGGTAGGCATGTAGACAAACAAATTTTCTGTATAACAATTTTTGTACCCTCTTCTTCCCCACTCCTGTCTCTGGGGAAAACAAGAAAAGCTGGAGAAACCAGAGTCAGAAATTCTAAATCAAAACCAGACAGCACTTGCAGTAACTGAGTTGTTTTTACCCACATGAGCTGTGACTGAGGCAAACAGCTCCACAAGGTTCAAAAAAACCTCAACTGAATGGAAAAATGTGTAACACTTTTTTTGCACAGTTACTTATTATTTATTTTACTCAGCTAAGGAAAAGGATGGGCACTGGAAGATGAGAGAAGAGGCTGCATTCAGCAGCTAGACGTGATGCTCTGCCTCAACAGCATGTTCTACTGCCACTGTAAAGGTACCAGGCTACATTCACCATTGATATGACCTGGCAGAGCATTTCTTGTGTTCTTGAAAACTCCTGTGATGCTGCTCTGGATGACCATGGGATGGTTTTCCCCCCCACCCTTTATGGCAGACATGAAAAGGGATTTCAGCCATAGCCCACACTGCAGTTTTAATAAACTGAATAAAGAGTGCTGTAATATATCGAGCAATTAATTTTTATCCTAGCATCTTGTAGGAAAACAACACAAATAATAAACCCAAGCTAAAAGACTAAACTGAAAGCAAAATAAAAAAATGCCTACTTGCCACCAATGGTTATCATCTCCTTGTGGTTTCTTTGAAACTATACCAGTTCTGAACCAGAGATTGCCATGGATATCCAAAGCCCATAATGTCTGCTGATCTCCAAGGGTTATGCACACTGGTTCCAAAGCTTGCATTTCACTGGAAATGCAAACAAGCAAAAAAATTAAAAACCTTACTTCAAATTTATGTTTATGGTATTTTAAGGAAGCTGTTACAATGCTAATAGCAGTTTAAAATGATTGAACTCAGTGGGGCCAAGCTAAAAAACACATTTGATATCAAATTTTCAAAGTCATTCAGTAATTTATATTTCATTAGTTTGTATAAGTAAAAAACATCCAACAATAAAAAAAAAATAAGTCCTTCAAAGATTACTAAAGATTTGAAACTTGGATACATAACAATAAAACTAAACAAAAACTATTTTAAGCAACCAAGAGCTGTGTTCTTTGAGTTTTTGATAAAACAGCCTCATACATGTGTCTCCTCCAACTTCCTTGACCTATTCTGAGAACAATATTAGCAGTTCAGGGACCATAAATAGAAAACTCAACCTAACTATATGGCAAAGATAAATGCTGAATTTAGGACTGCAAGTTTTCTGCATAACTAAACAATTTTCAAGCTCAGAAATTCAACAGGTGATTGTATCAGACACTGAAAAGGTAGCAAACAATGCTAGTTCTTTCAGATAACCTTTCTCGACAATTTAAGAACAAATACTGACTGCTTTCTGCAATCTTAATACAAACCCCAGGAACACTAAATGTAGCTAAGGTCAAGCAGCTTTGTCATTAAATAAACCAATTAAAGTGCATGCAAATTTCAGGTTTGAACAAGATACTGAGTAGTTTCTTAGACTTTTCAAGGGCCAAAATACCAGGCTGTAAGACAAGTTAAAGCTTTACAATAGAATATTCAGTAGATAAAATCATATGATGACAAGAACTGGAATTTCTTCCTATACTTGCTTCAAGCTGATGTCACAAGAGAGACTACATTCTAGACTCTCAAAGCCAGCAGTAGAGACTCAGGGCTTTTAACTTGAGCACAAAACAACTACTGTGAGCACAGGATCACCTACAAAGCTAAATATCAACTACACAAAGTATTTATAAAAATCTGTGACTGGATGACCAAGAAAATGCTGAGATTTAATCTCAGGGGAAAAAAAAAAAACAAACCCTCAAATAACTGGTGAGCTCATCAAAGCCATTATGGCATGAATTAAAGAAGCAGTACTTATCAAAAGAAGAAATGTCCCACCACAGTGCCATTACCTGACAATATCACTCTTCCACTGCTCTCCCTCAGGACAGAAGCTGCGCACTCCCTCCCGGTACAGCAGGGCCCGCTGTTCACTCAGGGCCCACACTACATTATTTCTGGATGTAACCTGTGACAGTGGATAAGGGCAGTCAACCTTTACTGCTCGGGCACAAGGACGATCCACACTCAGGCCTAGAAATCAAAAAATGAGGATTGCTTTACAAACTTTGGCTTTTTGCAACAAAAAGAGAAGAGATAAAGCAACTCAGCAAAAGAAAATGAGAAGGGGAATATCCTTGACACGCTAACATTTGTCATTTGACCATTATTTCCTTTCTATAAACTATTAATAAATTTCCTCTAATATAGGTGAGTTTACATTTTAAGAAATAAAGCACTGTACATCCTTCAACATCCTGCAGGGCCCACTAGTCATGTCCTGTCATTTCTGTTCCTTTTCTCCCTCTAGTGTCAGTACCAGGAATCTCCATTTATAAAATCCTTATTAGACCTGACAGAAGCATCAAAGGAAAAGCCAGTAAAGGAAGAACTTTTGCCCAAAACATGCCAGGGAGAGAAGCAACCTGATCTGAATAGTGGCTGCAGAGCAATTGCAAAAGAGTATGCCACAGTCTGTAGTACTGAAAGGAGCAGAGAGGTTCTGCTAGCTTTACAGGCATGTTGCACACATGTATATATCTAATCTAGAGGAACATATCTTCTTCACAATTACACTGAAGCTTGATTTACACAGCTCCATGTGAAACACCTCAGGAAACACAGTTTTTGTTTAATCTCATGCTGCCAAAGCCAGTACAAATAGATTCATCTTTGTGATACTCTAAATTAACAAGAATGCTGATTTCTAAACCTCTGAGCACACACTTTTGTGAAGACAGTGAAGGGAATGAAAAAATCCTGGAGAAACAATTTCTACTGGTTGTCTCACATTAACAAGACATATATACTGCAAATTTACTTCTCGCATCAAAAGACAAATTTAGGAGCCTAAGAACAGCAGAATGTAAGCTGATGTAATCAAACCAATCTCTCACATGGCAGAAAAATATTGATTCAAACCTCCACAGAGCCCTGTGTGATTGGCATCAAAAGTTCACTCTTGATCACCACTATCCAAGCTGGCTGGCATTACGCATGTGACCATGGGCAGGGCCACTTTATTTCTCTGTAACTACTACATTTAATTAAAAGAAAGTAATTTGAGTAGATTATTTTCAAAACAATTATGTGTACTTAAACAGTTTTCTTAATCACAAAGAATTTCTGTATTGTGCTACAGTAATTAAATTTTAAAAAGAAAATAGGAGAGTGCCAAAATTAAAAGTAAATGAGAATTTTGATAGCCACTGAAATGTTGTCCTGCTTTAGTATGTCTTACAGTTTCCCCTTTACGTCAGTCTTCCTCTTCATTCTCCAGTAATTCCTTCATCATATTATTGGTAATTTTTCCTTACCAAGTCAGCTCTCTGAGCAACACCAGCATACCCAGGAGTCCTTGATACTTTTCTCCTTTAACTCTAAAACTTGTATCTTCATCCTTGCTCCTTGTATTTAGCATTAATATCGTTTGCATAACACCTTCCAAATGTATCCTCTTCTATTCACTGGAGAACTTAAAACTATGGCCATGACTTCAAAGTTGACACTGCACTGTGCCTTTTCCAGTCCTTGCCTCATTCACATCCAACAAGAAGGCAGCTGTAAAGATTGCTGCTCCACAGCCCATTCCATTCCTCCATGGCTTCGCTTTCTCTATCACATGAAATACATACCACTTGTTTATACTTCCAAAGCACTTCATGATCTGTCTCAGAACACTTTCATTATCAAGTGGTAACTCTTACCTTCAAGAGATCTGTGCTTTTCAAAACACAATACAAATACTTTCCTCTTTTCTGCCCCCATACCTAAATTCCTTCTGAACAGCCACACAATATCTCACCGCCTTTCAAAGTCCTTCTAAAACTGTTAAAATCCCTAAATCGAGAAAACGCACTTAAGGCTCAGTTGTTTCAGTGCACCATACCACTGTCAAAGCAAGGATATTATTTTCATATTTTCTGCAATCCCTTTCCATTTCTCTGCACCCATCCTATATCCTCTCCATGTCTTAAACTCTCTATACTGTTGGTACTCCACTTGGCACACATAATAAGTGTCCATGAACCGGCTTTTCCACTCTCCTAATTACACAATACTTCACAACTGTTTCCAAACTTTTCTCAGGATAAAAAGGCTTCCCTATGTCCTGGCTGCAGATAAAAGTTTATAGCAAACTGTGGACATTCTATAGATTTGAAATCTAATGATCTCAGCCTGCAAAAATTCAAAGAGCCTGTAATTAATTCAGGTACCTGTTTGCAGATACAGATCTCCATTTGTTCTGATAATCCAGGCGGTGTCATCACTTAAAGCTACAAATACAGCCTGGGGTAAAGCCTCATACCAGTGGCGTTTTCCTTTTATAGTTACTTTTCCACAAGCAAAGGCTTTGTTAGTCTTCTGCTCAATCTTCCAGAGAAGAGCCCCTATATGAGGAGTTAAGAGAGAACATAACAGCACTCAGCAATTACTGTAACAGACTCAGCTGATGTGTCCTACCTACACCCAAATCAATGGGAGAGGAAAAGGAAAGCAGTACCATTAAATAAAAATGCAAGATTAAAAAACACTTGGAATTTTTTTTTTAAAAGCAAGACCAGAGCAGTGACTAACTTGTCTAAGAACTGCTGAAATGCATATACCATTAGAATATGTGTGATTTTTAAATGTTCAAATGCAAGTTACTTTTCCTCAGTTAAATACTGAACACTAACAAGCAAGTTCCATGTCAGGGCCAACGCTAAGAGACTGAAGTTCATGGCTCGCTTCTGTCCTAGTCTGGTACATCCTTGGTGCATAAAGGAAAAGGGTTTTATTTTGGTACTTTCACCTTTCACAAATATTAGTAGTAAATCACAGCTTTTGTGGACCAGTCACAAGTGACTGACCAGGTGTGCTGGCCACCCTGCACTGGGCAGTGTTATTACCTTCTCGTTACTCAGCAATGCCACTGCACAAATCCTTCTCCAGAATTCTCCCCTCATTTGAATTAGCAAGGACAGCTTAGAAAAAGAAAACCAAATAGAAGCCCAAACTTAACTGCTAGTTCATACCAGAACAGTACATTGTCATATTAACCTCCTTTGAATAATTCCACAAAGTAGCATTTGATTCCACTTTGACATTTGTGGTTAACGTGCTCCTGCATTAATACATCCATGGCAAAAATGCTAGAAGCTTCCATAGATTCAATGAAAAGCTGGGTGAGTTCCTGGAACTGAAGGACAGTAAACGCAGAAGAACAACCTTTTGCCCAGGAAATCTCTGAGCCACCAACTGTAGCCTGAAACTACCAAGGGCACACTTCACACATGCCCATTGCTTTGACTTTTCTGCAGGGACCTGCTTTTGACCACTCTTACGGGTAAGATACTGAGCTGGATGATCCTATGATCTCACCTAGTAAAACTACTCCTAAGTTGTTGTAGCCATAACAAAGGTCAGCTACAGATTAAATAGAATTTCTTTCTTCCCCTACAGAGAGAAGGGAAGATTGATATGTGCTTTTAGAAATGATAGGGAAGAAAAGTAGCAGCAAGGCAGGAGAAAAAGTAATGGAAATAGCTGAGAAACTTGTATTTTCCCACCAGTCCTGGAACAATCTGGAAGGCCAAAAGTAACAAGTTTATAACCAAAACCTACTTATTTTTAATCCAACATAATCCTCCTTCCCAACCACTCAGAACAAATTCATATGCAAATGCATCAAACCTTAAAAGGCATTTTTTTCTTCAGTATTTAAAAAGAAATCAAATCAACAAATCCACACATATGCAAAAGCAATTCAACATTTACAACAAAAAGAATTTTAAATTTGTCAATCACAGAATGGTTTGGGTGGGAAGGGGACCTTAAAGATCAACTAGTTCCAACTCCCCTTGATATGGACAGGGAGAGCTTCCACTACACCAGGTTGCTCAGGGCCCCATCCAACCTGGCCTTGAATACTTGCAAGGATGGGGCATCCACAGCTTCTCTGGGCAACCTGTTCCAGTGCCTCACCACCCTCACAGTAAAGAATTCCTGTAGTTCTGTAACAAAAATCAAGGTTTTATATAGAAAGGGAGCTCTTCATTCATCTCTGCCTACCACTGAACTGCTACTTCTGAAGTTCACTTCAATCAGGCAAACTCAGGTTGAAAATCTTCCAAAATGCAACATGAACCCATTAGAAAGACAGCCACTTACACTACAACATGGGATGCAGAGGTAGTGAAGATGAAGTCATGTAACTGTGAAGTTTGTTTTTTTTAAAAACCCAACACATTACTTTTACGTGAAACAAGCCATAAACAACCAAGTTTTCATAAATACCGCATTTAAATAAAAACCAATGAACTGCCTAAGTGGAAATTACACTTGCACTGAACTCTATCTGTAATCTAAAAAATTACAAGTTTCATCTAATTAAACAAAAAAGCAAAGAAAATGCCCGAGTTTATGCAAGTTTTCGAGGTGACAGTGCAGCAGAAACCAACCTACCTGATGGGGACACTGCCACTTGCTGGACTCCATCCTCGAACTTCTGCCAGCGCAGCCCGGCCGCAGGAAGGGCACTGCAGTACAGGCTGCCTCGGTAGTCCAGGCACCAAATGTACTTTTCTGAAACAACCAGGCTCAGGATGCCATAACCAGGGCCAGAGTACCCCATCCAGCTCTCTGCAAACTAAAAACTGTACAGTCAGAACAGTGTCAGGTGACTTCCAACTGCACAAGAAAACGGGTATATAAGTACAGCACCTCCCATGTTTTGATTAAAAAACGCTGAACTTAGGAATCTTAAGTAACCTTAATCATTGAATAAATTTGCCTTGTATAAAATAAAAACTACATCTGTCAGTGTTCTCTATGTACTGCACAATAAGACTGCTAGAACAACAGTTTTAGCAAAAAAAAACAAACCCCTCCACACTGTCATCCACCTCCAAAAAGTGGAAAATCTTCTCTTATTAGTTAAAGAACACATACTTAAAGTAAATGGCAGGTGCAAAAAAGGAATACATAAAAAGCTACAGTCTGTCTTTAGTACAGGAAATTATTCATTGTCTAGGAAGTGATGAGCAAAGGGTACAAGACAGCTAGAGTGCAGAGACAGCTAAAAATCCAACTCCAATACTCTCTGTATGGTACAGGACCCATGTCTTGCAGAAGTTTGGTTTGCAGGCTGCCATCTGAAATTTTGATGGCTCGTGTGCCATGAACTCAAGCACTGCACACATGACCTGCAATGAAAGGATTAGCAGAGCCTTTCTGAACATGCCACAGTGAGAGAACACAATAACCTGAAACTAGAAGCCTTCTACAGTTTAGGCTGCAGTTGTTGCTAGACTGGACCCCACCAACTTGTAACTCAGCCTTTATGAACAAATTCTTGGTTGCTCTCAATTCAAGGCTGTTACAGATCTAAAAAAAAAAATAAAAAAATAAAATTCCACAGACCTAAAACCCCCCCAATTTAGAAGAACTGCATTTCCTTCTTCAGACTTCTGCTAAAAACTCCAGTAAGTCTGGCAGTTTTGCAAGTTTTATAATTAATTTTTAGTACTTCTTTTCTATAGTCTGATGAGAATTATTGTTTCTGGAAACATTCATCCACAAAATAACAGTGAAGGAAAGAGTGATAACATAAAAATAACAATAAAGGAAAGAGGAATAACAGAAAAATAACAATAAAGGAAAAAGGGATAACAGAAAAAAAGAAACTGTCGTCGTTTTAAATAGTTCTAACTGCTGGCTAGGGCACAGAGACTAATCCTTATTTTGAGTATTTACAGGTAAAATAACCCTTAACCAGGAGCCAGTCATGTGAGATAATCAGCATTAATTCCCCATGAAGTCACTTGAATTTGGGAACAGCATTCACACAGAATTTGGGCTACTGGAGACCCAAACAATGTGCAGTACTTGAGCATGACTCAGTTTTACTGCTCACTCTGTAATGGATGGCTTTCTAACATCATTTTTGTTGAGCTGGGAATAACACAGCCAGAGCAGCTTCTCTTCATTGTAAGCACACATCACCCATTCTAAAGTCAGATACATCACATTTTGTAAGAGTTACAATATGTGTCACTTTTGGCTTTTTGCTTTACTTGTTTACTTGAATGAAGCGGAAAAAAAAATCGCTCTCTACAGATTTAAAGGACAGTAACAGGAACGCTGCTTTTGAAAAGCTGTTTCTTTTGAAAGTTAAAAGGTACTTTAACTAAACTGAAAACAAATACCTGATCAGATTTTAACAGCACCATTTCATCGGCGCTTATCTTGGCCACATCCTGTGAGCCAGGCACAGCACCAGCTTCAGGCATGCTGGTCTCCGAGGATGAATACGGTAATCCATGGCCATAAATATCCTCTTCATCACTTGAGGCAGATTTCTCAGTCTTACTTTCATGAGTGTCTGCTACCCATTCAGCAGTGCTAGCACTAGATTTAGCTTTGATTGCACTTTCAAAATTCCATCCAGAAATGGAAGCGTTATCTGAACAAACATCGTTAGAGATGTCAAAGCGGAGCGCAGAAGGGTCTGACAGAGCGCTGTGGATTAGGGAGAGCTCCTGCTGGTCTTCCCTACCAATTTCATCACTTTCCTTTGGTGTCAGTGATGTCTGAACACCAAATGTATGGTCACGTTCCAAAAACGTCTGGTCTGTAAGGTCTGGCCCTTCAAAAGACTTTTCAGTATCCTGCAGCTTCATTTTATCCAAATCTTCATCTATTTTACACAACATAGGAAAATCCTGCTCCTCCTCTTGGCTCAGCTTTCCAGGACAGCATTCTTTGCTTGCAGAAACCACACTACCATTATATTCACCATCAATACTGCTTGTCAAGTCTTCTGTGAGGATCAGAGGAGATGCAGATGTCAAAGTATCTATAATAGCTGAAGTACCCATGCCACTGTCACTGTTTGGAAGTTTCTGCAAATCAACCACCTCTCCATTTTCTTCATTAATTAGTACAGTTGCTGACTCAGGAGACTGTAGGACACTGAAAGTTTCTGAACCGTTATCTTCTTGCAAGATTGTATGGGACTCCATACTGAACATGCTTTCCTGATCTGGAGATCCAGTGCTCAAATGATCAATGCTGCCACTCATTATGCTGGAGGTCATGGAAAAGGAGTCTGCATTCAATGAATGGGGACTGTCACCAGAAAGCTGACGCTCATAAATTGGTGTGCCTTCCAGAGAGCTGTGGTTTTTCCTTGTCCCACTTTCTGTTCTCACAAAATAAAAAAAAGGGGGAGGGGTGTAAATAATATTAGTACAATCAAATTCCAATGCAAAGTAAGAAATTAAAGTATTTTTATAACTGGGGGAAGAACAGAGTTAAATCTAAATCTAAATTTCAACATATTGATTTTTTTTCAAACTCAACACTAAATGATATATATAAAGCCAAAAAAAGTCTTAACAGCAAAACATTTTCAAGTTGTAACACCATAATAGTAAACAATTAAAACAATCAAGTACTCACACTATATTAGCAAACTAAAAACAATGGCTAAGAAAGACACTGTCAAATATTCAGAATAGGATTAATAGATATTACACAATTCCAACATAAAACTGGAAACAGAGTCTATTGCATGCTGCCATTAATCCACACATTAGAACTTTGAGCATGTTTAAATGAAGCAAAACAAAATTAAAGGAATAAAACAAATAGATCTAAAAAGACTTAATCAATTTCTCACCTTCAAAACAGGCTTTCATCTGAAACAGAAATGGCCCACAGTGACCCCTCAATCATTTCAGAAGCATGACAACACAATGTAAGCAAAGCATGCCAAACAGACCCACTCTCTCCCGTGAAGCATCAGAAGTGACCATGCCCTAATAACAAGCAGTGACAGGGAAAGTTCTGCCAGACCTACCCTGTTTCTTCTTTCTTTTCTTTTTTACTTTAATTGGCTTTACAATGAGTTCTTGATCAAAATCTTCAGAGCTGATGGTGCTGAACCGTTGTGAAGAAAGTTGACCTTCTCTCTGAGCTTCTGAAAGTTGGTCTGCACACATCATAAAGCTCGAGCCACTGTCCACAGAGTTCACAGAACTGCTCCTGCTTCGTGATTCACTTACTACAGAGCAGCCCCTTTTTCTCATTTCATTGCTCAAGTCTCCCATTCTATCAAAACTTTTCTCAGACAGCGTTGGAGTTTCCAGATCATCTTTCACCGAAGAACCATTTTTATCACCAGTAACCAAAAGGGAAGCAACCATTTTTTTATCTGTTTCCACTGAAGGGCTGGATGATACAGATGAAACTACTGATGATGGGGTCAGCAATTTAGGACTCGTATCTGTTAAAGGATTCAATAATTTTGAATTCACATCTTAAACTGTCCAAAAGAAAAGTATAAATACTAGCTCAAGAATAAATACTAGCATCAGGTGAGTAGGGGCTTAGTCCTTGGAGAGAATTGAAAGAAAAGAATCTTTACACAAAAAAAAAGAAAAAGAATTCTAAGTTCACAAAATTTTAAAGATATATATATATGTATATACCTACATATATATTTGCACACATATGCAATGTAAACTTCCTGTAAGTTAATCTATATGAAAACATTTTAGTAAAATCAATCCCCCAAACTCTGTATGAAGTTTCTACTAGCAAAATTCTGAATTTATGTTTATGTATAAAGAAAGTACAGGTCTGCAGCTTGGAATTGTATCACACACTGAAGTGCCATCCTATATTTTTACCTTCCTCATTCAAACATTCAGTAGCTTGAAAAAAATCAAGGAAAATTACCAAATAAACCGCTGGGGTGATTAAAATAAAATATAATTCAAGAAGGCTCCTTGTAAACTATATTTAGTCTCTATAAGTCTGTGAGTAAAGAACTACTGAAATGACTAAAGCTATCACTAACATGCAATAATAAGAAGGTTAAGTTCTCCAGCATTCAATGAGACTTCATTGCATATTTACTGGCATTTTGCTAAAACAAAGCTAAGATGGAGTGTTTTAAATACACAAGTAGTCCCTTCCAGAGAGTTCTAGTAACATAAACGCTGAACTTAGATGGCAACAAATATGAAAATAAACTCACAAATTCCTTTTGGAATTTTAGCGAGCATTCTTTTTGTTTATTTGTCAGTTCTTTCTTTTTCATTGTGAGGAAGGCTGAGATTTTCTCCAGAATGTGGGTGGTGACAGGTGGCACAGAATCAACAATTCAGCTATTGAGACTGACCAGTAAAGGGATAACCACGATCAGGAATCCAAACTGCTTCAGTGTCATGGTTCAGAAAAAGGTCTCAAATGCACAGATTAGAGATTCCTCATTAGGATAATGCTGATCCATTCTCAAAAAAAGGGAATCATATTTAATTTCTTAATGCCCCCATTCTCACTACAGCCAAAACAGCAGATAAGCAGATAAACCAGATTTCTAAATATAATCTGTTAAAAGAGATAAGCACCTTTACAGAACCTGGTAGGTTTTTGCAATAATCTGAAGAGATTTGTGCGGCTTTTTTTTGTTTTGGGTTGGTTTTGTTGGTTTTAGTTTTTTTGGGTTTATATTAAAAAAGTACCTAAGCACCATGTTCCACAAGGTACATACTAAAGCTTACTAATCTATACAAACCTATTGATGACAGTCCTTCAGGTCTACTTGAAATTCTTATTATGTCTCTATCTCCCTTTAAGAGAAAAATCTCATTGTTGGTACAGGACACAGACACAATATCACCATATCCTTCCAAGCCACCAATCAAAGCCTATAAAGAGTCAACACAGAAACAAATAATTGGCATCAGATAACCATACTGTTTGCAAAACATGGTACTCAACAAAACTGTTCACTGGATTTTAATCAACGTATGCAGTTACAGGATAAAGATTTTTATCTTAGCAAAAAGAAAGAAAATAGAAAAAAGCAACAGGAAAGAGCCCTTTAATCACAATGTAACTAATTTTTATACTAATTTCAATTCCACAGATATATTCACTTTCTCTACCCAGCTAGTAGCAACAATATAACAACTTCAGCAGTACACAATTTGTTGGTAGAAGAATGCCATAGTACAAATGTCTAATACATTTAGACAAAAAGATACTAGCTTGTATTCATTTCTATATGCACTTTCAGTAAGACAAAATAAACAACACCTCACTCTACACCAAATAAAGTGTAGTACTTATTCTTTCGCAGACAACAACGGTAGTAGAGGGGAAAAAATAAATAGTTTCAAGCATATTTTATAAGCATAAAAAATCCTTTTGCATTAATTACTAGATTTTAGATTTCTAGATGCTTTGCTAAGCATCAGAATTGATTATGACATTAACACCTCAACTGAAAGCTTTAAATAAATGTAGTTTTTATATATAACATATCGAGCTAGTTTGTGGGTGTATGATTGCAATAACAACTCGAAAAGGGAGAGAATAAAGTCTTTTTTTGGTCAGTTTAAGCAAGCAGTTAAACCACAGAAGTATAATGGATAACCCAAACAGTGTCTCATGGCACATCATGAACAAAAACAAGAAAGAAATAAAACATGCACCCACAGGGTTTATCTACCTGGTTCACAGTGTCTAGCAAGTAGATGCTGTATTCATTCCAGGTCAGCACCCATCCTTCTCGGAAAAAGCACGAAACAAGCCCAAAGTGTTTCTCTGGAGAGCTGTAACTTCCCCTGTCAGGTGGTTCCAAACGAGGATACAGTTCAAAAGTTTTTATCCCTCCAGCAAATACATCTTTTAATATGAATGTGGCCTGAACAGTTCCGTGAACATCAGACTTCCAGAGACGAAGCCCAGGTCTGGCAGCAAATAGCGTCAGGTCACTCTGTTTACACAGGCCAGGTATAAAACATGCTCCAAACTTGCCAGTGCTAAAATGCAAAAGAATTTATTCTAAAAGCTATATACGTAACTTAGAAACAATTTTTAAAATTAATGGTACAAATTTACAACCAGTAAATTATCAAAAAGAAAAGTGCTTTCATTAAAATATTCAATCAAATGTCCAAAGTACAAATTTAGATACAGTAAGACAAGAGCAGTGCTTTCAAATAACAGCAGTTTCCCCTCAGCTTTGCATGTTAGACACTACATCAATTAAGCAAATTAAATGACTCTTCCTAATAAGCTTCATAACCTTAATGGCACTATGTCCATCTCAGAAAGATCTTACTATGCATCATCCCTCTCCCAGAATAAAAAACAAGCAAAATACTACCAAACAGTGCTAAGAAACTGATAACCTCTGGTTGCAAGAAGCATGGAACAGACCTCAGCTGCTGAAACCTTCATCTCTCATACACAGAAACAGCATTACTGTCACCCAGGAAAACCCTCTTACTATTCATACCCCTGGACAGATATATCAGGGACCTTCTTTCAAGGGTCAATGTCCTCTACTTACAGATATAGTCAGTCATGCTGTTTTAGGACTGGTTTCCCTCTTCCTTCATATCCAAGAGAGATTACACAATAGAAGATGTTAAAGCCACACAAGTTCCTAGTTTTCAAGTCAAATTAAGTGCTTTCTATACATTTTCCCTTTTAATTCACTTCAGTGTATAAGAAAAATTGGGATGCTAACTTGCTTTTAGCATCAAATATTTCATCACCCATTAGACAGACCTGATTACAACACTCGCTCACACCAAGTCACAGTAAACCAAGAGGGACAGCAGAGGAAGTCTGGCAGTGATTTCAGTTTAAACCATGAGAAAACATCTCAAAATATTTTTGTGTCATAGTGCCTTGAAAATACGATTGTCACATATTTGCAAACACGTACTCTCTAAATAGGTAGAACTGTCACTTCATGCTTGATCACACAGAGCTACTGTAACTAACTTTGTATGAGCAGTCTGCTGTGTTGCATTAATTTCACTGCTTAGATCACTCTCTCTGTAATCCACTCTGAAATGCTAGCATTAATAGATGTGCCTGCATCAAGATTTTATGAGGGTTACTTTTTTCTGGGCTGTGTTCCAACTTGGTTGACGGATTTCTCTTCTGTGTAAAAAAGTAGAGTGCGTTGTAAAGTAGAGACAAGCAGCACCTTCTGGTTGTAATCCAACTGGACAATCGAAGATGGCTCTTCCAATACAAGGCTGGAGTTGCAAATACCCTTTAGAAGATACAAACAATTAATAAGAGTCAAACCTTCCTAAAAATACAAGGTAGTAATTAACACTCCGAAGAAATTTATAAGCCCAAGAGAAAACAAACAAACAAAAGCTTTTGAACTCTGGTTGCCCAAAGTTCAATTAATATTAAAACGTGGAGTTCGTTTATGTAGGCAAGAGGGAGGGAGATTGTGTATGCCACAGTGGCACACCATGAAATTCAATTTCTCTTGCAATATTAGTTAACACATTTCACTTGAAATCAATAGAAGCTCCAGGACACGTTATCTTCCACTGCCGGGTCATACAATGCTGAGACAATCATTACATTTGGCAATGTAAACCCTTCTGTCAAAGCACACGAGGGACAGTCACAGATAAATTAGGATAGATGCTGTCTAAATGTTTCTCCCATATAGAAATTCAAATTAGCATTTGTTTTGTTGATGTCCCAGCTCTGTATAATAAACAAGATGTTAGAAAAATCCCATTCACTGGTAACACGCATGTGAGGCCAGCAGCACCCAAATATTAGTTTCATTCTACACTCCAGACTCAGATGCTGAACAATTCTGGGAAAATGACCTCATCTATAAAGTCACATCCTTCAAAAGTACCCTTTCCAAACAAAAGAGAAAGTACTGGTTGAACGCTGAAGGAAGATATGGTAGTTATTCAGACAGAAATTTGAAAAAAGAGAAGGATCACTACTTCTTTTAATATATATTACTTTTTACAAAAGGTAAGGCAGTTGTGAAGGATATGCAGTGGTTGTCATGTGGGTGTGCACACACTTTGCCAAGTGTACACATACCAATAAAGCCATCCAATTAAATACACCACACTAAGCAATTACCTAACTGCTAGATATGTAAACACACAAGCATTCTTTTAGGAAAATGTAAATGTGAATTAAGGTCTCTACAACAAATGCTCACCTGGTCTAGGTCTAGGGCAGAGTAGACAATCTTTCCTTTGTCATCTCCAGAGAATAATTTCATTCCATTGGGACTCCAAGCTAAAGCTGTAATGCTACTTTTGTGGATGCCAGCAACATCAAATCTCCGGAGCTGTGAAACAATACCAGAGCAATACAGGAATGAGGTGAAGAGAAATGGAGGCACAAAGTCTATTCAGTGACTTTTGCCTGATTTAATTGGAGATCAAGTACAAAAGTGGAGGTCATTCTAATGTTTATTTAGCACAAAAAACCTAAAGACAAATCCCAAAACCCCACCACTGAACTGATCAGTTATTACACAGGAGAAATCTCTCAAAAGCATATTTGATTAAATACATTTTTTGTAATGTAAAGCATGCTTACATTTAAGCTTAACATATGAAGCCTAAAACATATTCACAGATACTTAATCAGGCAAAACTTGCTGTGTTTCATTATTACAAAGAATCACAGTAACACTCTACTAGGATTGGCTAAACTAAACCTCACAGAAGTTTAGCCAAATGCAAAGATTTACCTGTTTGTTTCTTCCAGGTAATGAAGACACAAGCTGAAAAACTGCAACCCGACCTGAGGCTGTACCAACAGCAACCAGATCATCAAAACAACTCAGCAGCTTTACAAAAGTAATAGATTCACACTTCCCCTGTTGAAACAAACCATACCAAGAACTCACAAAGTTAATGAGACACAAACATGAGATCAATTCTGAGCAACTCAGCTTCCTCAGAAGAGATGACAGTAGAAGTTGGTATTTACCTCAAAATTGTATTTTTTCATCTGGTTTAATTGTCTGCAGTAGAGATAAAGCATCCCAATGCTGCTCCCCACAGCAATGTAGTCTCCATTGGTATCAAGTGCTGTGAGATACACCACAATAGAGCGAAAGCCTTTTTGGATCTTTGTAGGAATGGCATTGAGGAGATAATATAAGGGACAAAATTCCTTAAATACAACCGGTGAAGCCACAGATGCCATAGCAAGGATTTCCACCAGCAATTTTAAGGCTGAAATAAACACATCTACTCGACCACATAAGGAAATCTGAAAGGCAAAAGCAAAATACATGTCATTTACTTGTTAACAGAGAGCCACCATTTATCAAGTAGGGACTAAAGATTTCTCATTTTTTCCTTTTTATAAAGGAAAAGCAAGCTAAACTCTCGTAGTGAATGTAGTTATTCTTAGAAGAACTTTCTTCTTAACAATTAGGTGTATTTCTCAAAACATCTAAGGATGCATGGTAACCACTAAATATGGGATAACCACTTTTTCTAGCAGCTGCAAGCTTGTCAAAGTTGAATTCAAATGCAGTATTTCTTCTCCTCTGCCTAGTGAAAGAACCACAAGGCCTCTGACATGGAAGAATCCACGTGATATATTTCTTCATCTATCTGCAACCTCTACCCTCCATCCAACCAGTGTCAAGAGCATGGGACATTGACTGTGTCAGACAGTGCTGTAAGATCAAAGCAGCAAACCAGTATTTGTGCTCCACTCCTTAAGGCCCCACAGCCCAAGAAAAAACATGGCTGAGAAACAATTCACTTAAAGCTACATCTGCTATATAATCAAATAATAACCAAAACATAAAGTGGTAGGAAAGGGGCAAAGCGAAAATTGAAGAAATCCCATTTTGACAGACCCAGGAAAATATCCATGTAGCAACTGTATTTAGAAAGATAAGGAGCAAACAGAAAAAAAAGTACCATATGCCCATGTTTTCTTTTATGGATAAGCAAATAATTTCATGCTTGTGAGTGACACTGTAAATATACTTAGAGGACAATATCTAAGAATAACGGAAACAAAGAGTCTGTTTGCCTTCTTTGAGGAGAAAAAAAATGTAGCCATCGCTCCTCACAGTAATAACATACTAGTTTCTTCAGAAAAAGCTGCTATGACCATGACAAACTTAAAAATATTCAAAATATTTATTTAAACCCAGAATTTTTCTCGTTGCAACAACCTTGATGAGAACATTTTGCAGCAGTTCTCCTCATGGATGACTTTGAAATACAGAAAAGAAAAGAAACCTTCACTTCTAGAATTTTATTTTGCTATGAGCAAGACCAATCAACAGAATTGTTTAGAATCTGCCAAAAATACCTGCAGTTTTCCAAGACAAGAATTTTGAATTTCTGTAAAGACAAAAGTTTTTTATGGTTGTTTACAGTCTTAACGTTGAAGATTTTCTTTAGCTTCAGCAAACTTATAACTTCCTTAGAGAAATGAAAAACAGAAGTCTACCAATTGACACTAGAAATGCTTCTAAATACTTAAAATTATTCCATGAAGTATCCCTACTGTAATTTGTGATATGTCCTATTGTGCCTAGTTTTAAGTTCTCTAAGGATGGAAAATGGTATTTGTTTGGTAGTTTCACATATTGCTTATAGTGTATATCAACAAAATTAGAAAAAAAAAATAGCTGCTCTAGTTTCATATCTTCATTACTGCAAAAAGCTCAGATGTCTCAATTTTCAAACTATTTCAGTTATTGTGCAAGAGGATTCAGCACACTCTCTTTGGGCCCTTGCTATCAACATACAATTCCACTAAATCCAAAGGGATTGTTTGCATGACATTACCCATGCAAGCCCACGTCAGACAAGACTGCAGGAATAAAGACTGGTTACTGGGCTCATATTTTATCTGTTACAAAAACTGCCAGTAACTAAGTTAGCACCAGTTATTAGATGTTCTTAATTGTGATAAATTTTACTGCTTGCTAGAGCTTAGAAATCAATTCTACTCCCCTTTAGTGTTTACTAACCTCTCACGACACCTATTTCCAAAATATCACAAAGATTTGCTGATTTATGCATCCAAAGTATTTCTGAATGAAGAGTTCCTTTCAGAGATGTTTTGTAGGTTAACAGATAACCCCACTGCATCACAACTCTTTCACAATGTTTTCATACAGCATCTGTTTTCCATACAGCACTGTTTTAGGTTTCCTGCCTGTTCCTTCAGCACTTGCTACTTTCTATCAACAGTCAACTAAATAAAAAGAGAACCCACTGCTAAAGTCTCCCATTTGCTTTTCTAAATAGGCTGTTTTGCAGGTTTAGTAATTTTGCTACTTCATGGTCTTTTATTCTTTTTTTTTCCCTTTTTTCTGATAGAATAAAATCCAGTCCTGAGTCTCACGTGTACAAATCTTCCTCTGTCTAGTCCAACTTCCACCACTACCCAGCTACTGTCTCATGAATTTCATGTATTTTGTTTTTCAGGTCCCCTTTGCGACTCCTACAATTCATATCCGTCAGCATCTGAAGCTGCTCTTGTAGCTGGAACCACCTCATACTCCCCAGTTGCCAAAGGACCTTCCAAGTCTTCAGAATTTATCCTCTCTGTTTCCATCCCTTCCCCTTTCAGCTCAGCTAAACCATTAAAAACTTTGTAATTCTTTACAAACTACGGAAATATGCTCATTTGTATTATCAAGAAAAAGACTATTACTCTTTCCTCTACAACAACTCTATCTGCAACCTGATGCATGTTTTGTAAGTTTACATTCAATTTAAAAAAAAAAAAAGATTAAAAAAAGGGAAAATTTGGTAGAATTTTCCTTCCCACCCACAGAAAACAATGGGAGAAATTATTTCTTGTCACATACTAAGTTAAGTTTAAAAACTGCTGTTAGGTTAGGGTTCTCACTCTTCATATAATATACAATCTTATTTCAATATTCTCTGACGACAAAATCGTAATAAAATGAAATTCACTTTTTTTCTCTATAATCCATTCACCCTGTAAAATCAAAAAATGTAAAAATTTATTCATAAACTATAATTTCTTGTCATCATACACAAATTAGTTTAATCTTGAGTGTTTTTACAGACTAACAGAACACTTGCACTGTTTGTGTAAAAACGTAACTAAAAGCTCAAACCCATGACTTTACTAAAAATACTAGTAATTAAGTAATTTTATGTATACAAAACAAATGTACAAGGGACTAGAAAATTTCCCATGTGGCCTACACATTCAAAACACCTGCACAAATGCCACAATTCTCTGCTTTTGATTCTAAAGTCTTCAATATCCTCTAATGACAGTTGTGCATCGCATGTACTCTCTTCCTCTTTATTAACAGTTTTAGGATTAATTGTTATCTGTTTTTCCTACCTCATTAATCCAAGGCAAACAGGGGATATAATCTATTTTCTCAGGTAGATTTTGGAACTGGATGTGTACGTTCCCTCTGTTCACTCAGCCACAGTTATTCTGAAGTACATAACAGCCGTACAGGGCAAATCAGCTTGTGCTAAGCAGCTGTCCTGCAGCAGAGATATAGTGGAGAAAAACACCACATCAAAAACAATCCCCAGGCAGACAGTCCTTCTTCCTTCTCATTTCACAAAGTTCACAACACGCTTTCAAATACTGCATTCAAGGCTATGTTCTGAAAAGTAGACTTTTTAATTTTATTTTCTCTGGTCTCAGGAACAGGAATAAGGTTCGGTGCTGCCTAACAGAGGCAACTAAAGCGAGAGATAATCCCCTGGTTCAGCAGACAGGCAGTGGTTAAAGGTTCAGTGCCAGGGTATGCCACAGATGGACTGCGGGAAGCTAAAGCTGTCACTGCATTTCTCTGAGCCCAAGTGTCCTGTTTGTACAAGAGGGACAACAGCTCTGTTTGGTTTTTTTTTAATCTGTGGCATAAAAACTTACATTTAAGTTCTTCAGAGCATAGACAAACTCATATCTATGACCACAGCTAAACACAACAGCCTCTGTTCTCAACTAGATCCTGCCAACTAAAGAGGAAAGCTGTTTTCTTTTCTAATACTTCTCACACCTTTAGCTCCAGAGCAGGGTACCTGACTGCCATATCACCAGAGGTTTTTACAGCAAACTGCTGCCAAGTAGAGGGGAGAACACAGATGCACACCCCCCTGAAGGAGCTCTGATTTCTTGTGTCCTGTGCTCAGGCAAATGACCAGCAGCACACAGGTCACGGTTACCTGATTAACACACACTTTGCTTTACACAGCTCATGAATTTTTGGCTCAAATGAGGTTTGTTTATTTTCTCTTTGAAATAATAAAAAATAGACTGTAAAATCAACAAACAAATCTAGACAAAAGAGATGGAAAGGATAGAAGAAGTAGAATCCAGTGTCACTGTGCATCCCAGTATGCCGAGAGAAGCCAGGGAAGCCTTGCTGTACTCATGCTGATGAGTACACCCATCTTCCCTAGGAATCTTTCATAGAACCCTAGAAGGTTTGGATTGGAAGGGACCTTAAAAGATCATCCAGTTCCAACCCCCCTGCCATGGGCAGGTCCACCTTCCACTAGGACCAGGTTACTCAAAGCCCCACTCAAGCTGGCCCTGAACATTTCCAGGGATGGGGCATTCACAGCTTCTCTGGGCAACCCGTTCCACCCTCGCAGTAAAGAATTTCTTCCTAATATCAAACATATATCCATCTTCTTAATACCATAGATATACCTCATATCTATTATATACCTAATATATATGCCTACCCTCTTTCAGTTTGAAGCCATTATTACACTTTATCTTAACCTCCCTTCCTTAGAAGCACGACCATATTCCGACAGATGTTCCACACCACTCCTTTCCAACAGGTGCCTCCTCGCCCCCTGCGGGGCCGCAGCTCCTGCCAGGGGACAGGGACAGAGCCGGGGGCTCCCGGCCGGACACCTGCGGGGCCGCCTCGCCTTCCCGCCGGCTTTACCTCGGCTTATGCCGGATTTACCGCCCAGACCCAGCGCTCCGGGAAGGGACGGGCGGCGCAGCCCCTCCAGCAGCGGGAACAGCCGCCGAGCCCCCGCCCCGAGCCCCCTCACCCGGCGCTGCCCGAGCCCCGGGGGCCGGCCGGGAGCACCGCCCGCAACAGGCGGCCGCGGCAGGCCCCGCTGGCGGCGCCCGGGGAGGGCAGCGACAGCCGGGCAGCCCCCGGGCCATCCCGCCAGGCTCGGCTGCACTCACCGCTCCGGAGCGCGGGGCGGCCCGTCACGGAGGGGCGGCGGGAGCGGCGCTGCCCGGGCCCCGAGGCGGCGGAGCGGCGGCGGCCCCGGTGGCTGCGCCGCTCGGCGGGGCCGGGCTGGGCGGGGCCGGACGTGAGCGAACTTCCGCGGGCGGCGGGGCCGCCATGGCGGGTGAGTGCGGGAGGGAGAGGGAGGGAGGGAGAGCGGGGAGCAGCCGGAGGCGGGTCCTGGTGGTTCCTCGGTGAGCTAACGAGGTTTAATGTGCCCGTGGTGCCCCGCCGGCCCGCCGGGCTGTCGCTGTGAGCGACACCGCCCGGGTGTGGGCGGTGCCCCGGGAGGAGCGGGGGACACCCGTGTCGCACCATGTGTGTTACCTCATCAGTGTGTATAAATATCTGAAGGGGGGGTGCCAAGAGGATGGAGCAGGGCTCTGCTCGGTGGTGCCGAGCAATAGCACAAGAGACAGCGGGCAGACACTGATGCACAGGAAGCTCCATCTGATTATGAGGAAGAACTTTACTGTGCAGTGACCGAGCACTGGGACAGATTGACCACAGAGGGTGTGGGGTCTCCCTCACTGGAAATATCCAAGAATCATCTGGGCGCAATCCTGTGCCATGTGCTCTGGGATGACCCTACTTCAGCAGGGAGGTGGGACCAGATGACCCACTGTGGTCCCTTCCAGCCTGACCCATTCTATGATTATGTGTGGCCTTCACATCTGTGACCACTTTTCGGTAGTCTCTGTGGATTAAAGTTAAAGCCACCAAACGAGCAGGCAGGGTGTTATTGCTTGGCGTGGAGCCCTGCGTTGGCTGCTGGGGCAGTGCCTGATGTGTGAAGGTGGGGCTGCTTCGTGTGCTCAGAGGGATGTGCTGCAGGTTCCTTTTGCTCTCTGGGCCTCCAGGGAGACACCATGAGATGTGGGCTTTGTGCTCAAGCAGTAAAGCGCCACCGTCTGCAGTAGGCCTCAGCCTTCCCCCAAACTCTTCCAGCTCATGTGTTGCCATGAATTAATTCATACTTTCATGGCAAGAGCACTGGATGCATGCAGTAATTGTTGCCATGATTTCTTATACTGCATTAGTATTTGACTGTCAGAAGACCACTAGATTAGTCAGCTCTGCAAAGCTGTTGCTGTCCATGCTGCAATATCACATGCAGAATGTGCTTGTGTTCTTTAAATAACCTTGTTTTCTTATAAATAGTAATAAGGCTGATAGATGAGGAATTAGATTTCATGACCAGAGACAGTTAATGTAAATTCCGTTTTACTTTAATCAATATTCTCCAGTAGAGCGTGGAAATCATTCACACAAACTGCTGATGGACACCGATTTATTTCTGTATGCTTTAAATGGCTTCAATATCTTTATTTTCTCATACAGCAAAAAGTCCTGCTGATAGTACTCCAAGAAGGCCTGTTTTATCTGTCAGTGCAAGAAAAATTAAAGATAATGCAGCAGACTGGCATAATTTAATGATGAAATGGGAGAGACTGAATGATAATGGATTTACTACGGCAAACAAAATAGTCAACATGAAGATCAGTGAGCAGTAAGTATGCTAATACACAGGAATAAAGACAGCGTAAAGATTGCCTTTTTTGTGAGATTAATCTGTTTTCTTCACTAAAAAGTTCTTTTTGGAGACAGGAGAAAACATGCCACAGTGGATAAGCTAGCTCTTAGATCAAACTCAGCAGCTGCACTTTTTGGTTACATAAACTGTTTATATTCAAATAATAAATGTCTCATAAAGATTAAAATAATCTCATAAAGTAATGTCATTTGCAAGAAATGGAAAACATTTCTTTTACATAGTCAAACATAACAGATATTTAAAATACTTATATAATCCACAAAGTTAAAATCTATAAATCTCACCCATGTGAGTTCCCTTACTCTCTTACATATTTTACACGTTTCACTCAAGTGAAAAGTTCAACAGATTTGAAGAAAGAATCAGTGATTTGCACAGAAAAAAAGGTTTAACAGTAATGACTAAAAAAAACCCCAACAGACAAAAAAACCACACCACCACCATACATAAACCCCCAAAACTAAAAACCAACAAAACAACAAAAAAAAAGTGAAAAACTAAAAAAAAAAAACAAACCACCCTGCTTTGGTAGAGCTATTATTTTGATACTGTAAAGAAAAACCTAATTAAGAGGGTTGTGAGAAGAAGCTTCTTCAGAGTCCTGACAGCTGAAGAGGGTTTGCCTGACAGGGTTCTGACAGGTACAAGCTGAGGAGTATTTTGCTGTAATGGTGCCAGATGTTGCTTTTTCTCTCTAGCAGCTCCCTCTAAAGTCTGCCAGGCAGGGTAGGTGTCTGTACATTGGCTGCTCTGGGTTCACAGATGAATGTCTTGGCCTAAATTGTGCACAAGTATGAGTTTGTGGTGAGGCACCAGGTTGTCATCCAGAGCAGATGAAGCCTGGGCAAACCTTTTCCATTATGGGAGAACAACCTCCAACACAGGGGCAGAGGGAAAAAGTGTTGTCTTAACACCTGCAAGCACACCGTTTTCAAGCACATGCTCTGAGGTAGAGTCATTCTATGTTTCTCTTGAGGATTGTGGTGTCATCCCTATTTGTTCTCATGGCCTTGTGCAGTTTTTATGTAGGTATTCTCATGAACAGTCTGTGAGAGAGAGATTTTGTAGGATCAGGCCACATGGATTTTAAATCTGCACAGCTCAAGTAAACCTATATGCAGTTGTTTACTCTGCCTTATATTTCTATTTTAGATTTCAAGACAGAAAACTGGAGATAGCATGTGATAACAGTGTCACAGAACCTGAAAAGCCAACCCCAAGATACAATGAAGAACTGGACAATTGCTGTGCAGAATTACTGGAGATCTTAAAGCAGATGGTAACACTCATTTTCCAATCTTAGTCAATATGAATCAGTTCCAAGTGTGCTCAAATATGACATAAGGAAATGTTCTCAAGTATTTATTGTAGACAGAAAATTGGGGGTTTCTTTCGTAGTTCTTTGGATTCAAACCTAAATGATTATAAATCCAGCATGCACCATTTATTTGCTTGATCGGTAAATTTGAAAGTTGGTTTTACATCTGCCTTCTGTTTATAATTCTACTCCTCCCTTTATAAAGTGATCTGGAAATAAGTTGTACAAAGAATGCATTCTAAAACTGCACATATTTTCTCATACTGAGTATTCTCTCTGTTTAGAACAAAAGAAACAAGAAAGCATAAAGTAGTGCTTTACCTGCCATCATATCCTTGCAGCTGTCTTTGATCAGACATAATGCAGTTATATTTTTAGTCTGCCTACCTGCATTTGCTGTGCAGATCTCCTTCTCTAGAGAGTGGAGTAAAATAATTATTATGTAACCTTTTTTTTCTGGATACATTGCTAGGAATTAATGTCACCCGTCAGTTTGACAAGAAACAAACCGTATTTTTCTGCCTGAAACTGTAATTTAAAATTCATATTAAAAATAACTTTTACAGCCTTCTGCCAAAGTGGAGGCCCATTAAAAAGATGGTTGATCTCCTTTTTTACATAGGCAGGATACCAGTCATCCAGTATTTAGAAAAATCAGGAAATGAGCTAGATTTCCCTCAAATTTTGTGCTGGGGGAAAAAGTAACAGTAATTTGTGTGTTTTTTCATTGGGTTCTTTTTCCCTTGAGGTAGTTTTGTATTCAGACTACCAAGCGTGTTGATTCAATTTTTTACTATTTCTGAGTAATACGAGTCTAAACAGTGTTAGATTGGATACTAAACATAACTACAGTGACCTATTTTATTTTTCATTCCTTATGAGTTTATACCAGCTTATGAGTTTATAGAAATATCTGTATTTTAACTGCTGGACTTAAAGATACTGCCTGCAAGCTCCATTTTGTTGTAAATATTCATCCCCATCAGCAATGCACAAAGTCAGGTGAACATGAAGCAAGTGGATGGAATGACCTGTTTTTTGAAGCAGGCTGTTAGATCAGCCTAGATACCTTGTCAGTAGTAGTTTGAGCTGCTTTTCTCACCTGCTGCTGATCTTTTGAAATCAAATTTAAGACATTTTTACATGGTAATGTAAGAAAACCTATGTTGATAGGGCTTGTGCTACATTTGTTTGATGTTTTTCCCCACTGCTAAATTGCTATAGGAAAAATCTAGAGAGAGAAAAAATGACAGAAAGCTTTAGTATATTTCTACATGAGGGAAACAAAAGAATGTGCAAAATCAGCCATATCTGCAGTGTTCAAAATTTCAAGATATCTCATATTAAATATATAGATTCCAGCTGTCATGTCTCTCTGGAGTTAAAAAAATAAATAAATAGCCTTCATAAATAGCGTGTTTTTAAAAAATCCTTGAGATTATAGTAGCCTGATGTTCCTGAGATGTTCATTAAGATTACACATTCATCATTTTTTCAGACAAAAATACAACTGAAAATGGAAAAGCTTACTTTGACTACTAAAGCAATCTGTGACTTGGAAGCATTCCACCGTGGAGCTGGGAATTGCACAGCACCCTTCTTTCATACATGGCCCACACCATATTTCTGTAAGTAAAATATTGATTATCTTAGCTAATTACATTGTGTCTTTGATGTCATCTAATTTAAGACTGAAAAGTAAACCCTTTTATCTGGATGTCTTGCCTGAGAGAGGGTGTGTGTCTCCTTTACAATTGACTAATCAATAAACACATGAATGCACCACTTGGCTTAGGGTTACTGCTGATCCCTGCTTGTGGGAAGTGCCAGGCATTGTCTGACATGCAACAGTTACAGCTCAGAACTAAGCTTGTCAGCAGCTTACAGTGGCCAAGCTGCAACAGCCACGTCCTCTGAAGGGAGAGACTTATGTGCAACTTGGTGGTGTTAAGCTGTAGGCTTAGCTGCTTGACACTGAAATTAAGTCCTTGAATGCAAAGAGCAAGCTATACCTCAGTTAATTCTGCAGGCAGCCAAAGAAAAATACCTCTGATCTCAGTGTCAGTCAAGACAAGTAAAGAAATGTTACTGTCTACTGTTAATTCTTTTAGCATTCACTTGATGGCAAAAGGTACTGCCTCCCAGCTGGTATTATCTCAGCTTTAAGACTGTCTGAATTCAAGAGAAGCCTGATTGCATGCAAACCAAATGCCTTTGTGAAGTGAAAGTCATGTGAAGCCCTGCTTCTTCACTACCACAATTTAGCAGGAATCTTATGTATTAGTTTCTGTCAGCTTAAAAGGGTAAGAATGACAAAGACAACTGCTATCAAAACACCCATTGTGACTGAATCATTTAGTGATGCTGTCTACTGCATGAAAGACTAAATCCTTCTGAAGGCAGTGATAGTTCAGGCTAAGTTAGAAACTCAGGATCAGTCTCTCTTTAAAAATAATTTGTATGGTTATTTTTTAGGAAGTCAGACAATTAAAGATTATTATACAGATGCATTTAATCCCCCTGCCAGTATTACTAACATAGCTAGTAACAGTATTAGTTTTTACATTACGCCAGTTTTGGTCTGTTGGGGTTTTTGCTGTTGTTTTTTCGCTGTTGTTTTTCATTATTGATATCACTCATCGGTGATCATGCATTGCTGAAGTGCCTGACAGCATGTGGGGGCATCCTTTAGTTTAGCTAAAATCAATAGGGACTCTAAAATGTGAAGCTTGTATTGCAGGATAGCATTACCAGATTTTAAAATCAAATTTCAGTTATTTGAGGAATAGCTATAATTGATAATTATCGATTCTAATTGCTAATTTTCTGGTGGATTCTGAGAACCAATACCACTGCTTATTCTCGAATTAAATGGGGACTCATGTCAAAATCAGATGTGTGTAAAATATATCCCAATGCTGAGGAAATTGTTTAGCATTTGATATTCTAGTGTAAAAACATGATTAATGCTCTAAAAAACTGAGGTGTCTATATTTGGGCAATAGCTTATGTAAGGTAGGTGGATTTTTTAATGATCCACATATTTCAAGTATAATTTAACTTGTAGAGAATTGCTGATATGTTCTGGTCAATGTGCTGGTTTTTTTAATCCATTCCAGATGAGGTCTCTTTGAAGCTCTCCGAAATGTACAAGAAGGAACTACAACTCAAGCAGGCAATTGTACAAGACATTGCTCATTCTGCTGACCAGGACCTGCTGATGGTGTATTTATCATCGTGGTTATACCAGCCTTACATTGAGAACAGCAGCACACTGCTACTTGAAGCCATGCTGCTGGAGACAGGACACAGAAAGTGCTAGAATTCCACGTGGCTGGCTTCTAATGATGCTTACATGAAACTGAAATGGCAAATTGCAAGGCTTACCACGTAAGTTGAATTTTTGTAAAACTCATTAAAAAAGATTTTCTCTGTTTGTATTTATTATTTTGTCTTAGCTGATACTCCTGTTTCTGCATGGGACAATCTGGTTTTGGTTGTTTTATCCATTTTAAGAGCAGTAGAGAGGATACAGGTAGGAGGCTAAGTCCCCTATAATCAGGAAGAAGTAAGCACATAGACAGCTACAGCAAAGAATGTTACTTCTTTCCAAGTCTTGACAATCTGAAGTACCTACATGGTCCCTTTGGCCCTAGAATTTCAGCACTTCATGATCTTTCATGGGGGGTCTTTTGCATGATTTAACAGGACGAGTGCTTTTGTACTGGCTTCGTAAGTGAAGAAGAGGAAGACAAAAAAAGGCAGGATCCAAAAGGATCCACATAGTTTGGTATGTGATTCTGAAATGCAGTTGTAGACAGTAGTGTAAGTTCTGGTTTGGTTTTGAGTCTCGTGGTTTTAGGTGCATCACCCTTCAAGAGTGATCCAAGCCTGAACTACCACGCTGGGAAGATTTAGTACAACTCAGCATTCCAAAGTCATATAAAAATGTCTTGTCTCTTAATTAATTTTAACTTTTTTCTCTTCGAGATGTTTCATGGAAGCATCTATTCAATAAAAAGAAGACCTCCTTCAGTCAGGGCTGTATCCTATATTATTTCCTCCACCTCATAGGGCTCTGTGAGTTTTTCCTTGGATTATTGCTACTGATATCAAGTGATTTTCGTTTGCCTCTGTACTGATAGCAAAAGCAGCATCACTTACTTAACTGGCTCTAAGCTGAAACCTCATAAGCTTGATAAGTTTGCTGCAGTAACAGAACAGACAGACATGAATTGGTAAAGTTTTCTCAACATGTTGCTGTGTTGAATGAGGTTCTTTCTGACAGTTAATAGAGTTCTATTCTTAGCCCAAATTTCTAGTGTCTAAAAAGCAATTCTGCTGTAGCTCAAGGAGAATACAATCAGTTAGGAACAGCTTTGTTGGGTTTTATTATTTTTCAGTGCAAGTGTTCCACCTAGTTTAACAGCCACTTTAATTTATCTGAGTAGGGCCAGACCCGTGTCACTATGGAAACACCTTCATACTTCAAAAATATTTTCCAAGGAGAAAAGATTGGTTCACATATAGGATTGTTCTTTTAAGATGGGAGTAGGTGTATTGTATTTCCCAGCATGTGCAAATCATTTTCTGCACAGGTGGAAATTGTGGTTTGCTCGTTTCTTAGAGGAAATAAGCTCTTCAGGAAGGGGTCTTCGTATTCACAGACCCCCTTGCTTATTGATTGCTGTCAGACATGGGAAGATTACTGCAAAATCATTGCAGAGATGTTTTGTCATTATAGCTCTAAGCAGTTGATTGTTATATTTGAAGCCTTCAGATGTAGTGATTAGACAGCCAGTACAAAAGAGTGTAATAAAGAATTGCTCACTGCAATCAAAGACTTTGAAAGACCAGCAGAATCTGGCTTTATATGCTACCTTCACTTACAGGGTAGGTCTGTATCCTCTGGCCATTACCACCTCCTAATAAAACAAAGAGGGGGGAAAACCCAAATCAAATACTACACCATAAACCCAACCACCAGACAGCTCATTAATACAGAGCATCTTTCACAACCACACCTAAAAGGCAGTGCTTTGACTAATCAAATTCATCTTCTACTTAGGCAACCAAGAAAAAACCCAACCAAACAAATAAAACCAAACCAACTATGTTAAAGGGACATAGAGCAGATTATTTCACCTCTAACTTGTTCTCTCTCCTGTTTAGATTCAATTTTTTGTGTTGTTCTTCAGTAACAATACCATGAAAAAAATCGTGTTCATATTTGATTTATCAACAAAACAGCTCTCCTGCAGATCAAGGTCCTTAGTGGATTTGTCCAGTTATCTCAGGAGCCTCCTTTATTTAGTAATGAGGTGACACACACATTTTAAGGATATGTTACCAATTTACAGTAATGTCTACTCATTCAACACTGTTCTTTTTCACCTCTTAAAACTTCTTGGAAGACAAGACAGTGCCTTGGACAAGAAGCTGTTGGGAGGTCTCCACAAAAATACATTATCTAAGGATCGTATTGAAGTATGACAAAAATAGGAGATAGCCATTGCTAAGTGATTCGCCGAGTTTTCTCCCTGCCTAGAGAAACAGGGAGTCAAGGATACCTTTGTATTGTGATTAAACAGTGCAAGGCAGTGTGAAATTACTAGGAAGGTCAAAGGGTAGAACTGATAAAGGATGCATCATGTGAAAGAAAAAAACGTGTAATACCAGTCTCACAAAAATAGGCCATCGCAGACTAAAGCAAAAGAGAATTTGGTACCTCATTAACGAAAATCAGATCGATCACTACTTACACACCTTCCCATTTTTGTCTTAAGTAACAGCAATTTTTAAAGGTGAAGATGAACATTACACAAAACTTAAATACATTTCCAACAGTTCAGTACAAATCGGATCTTGTTTGAGGCTATTTCTGTCACTAACTCTGTGGATGGTTATTTCAGTAAGGATCAGCTAGGCTGTCACATTGTTCCTGTAATGCCCAACTGTGGATTATACTTAAAACTGCCCATTTTTCCAGGCAGATTTATGTGCATCAAGTCTAGATGCTAATGAATATTCACACTTCGAAAAACTGCAATACCAAAAAGTGTTTTGTAATCTCAGTGGCACAGAAAATGCACATTTTTAATATAGCTTTTATTTTACCCATATACAGCTTGCCAGTACACAGCACATCACTGCTGAACAGCAGTACAACTTACTGCATTTTTAGATGGCTAGAGAGAGAAGGAATCAGGTAACAAAAGGGAACAGTGCAACAATTTTAGGGTTGACAGATTTCTACTCCCCACCCATCCCCAACATATAAAGCAAATAGAACAATGTTAATTCTAGAATTTTTGGTTGCAATGCTGCTAGATTTATATAAACATAAGTTATAAAAAGTACAGGGCATAGAAACAGTTTACAAATAAGTTAAATTTCAATTATCTCAGTATTCACATTAGAAAAATATACATTTTATAATCAGTCTTTTCCAGAAGAAAGCTTATAGGGTTTTTTCTAATTTATGGCTCCAATTCACTTTGCGAGAGCAAAATATCTTCACTTTGGCCACCTGCTTCCATTGCCAGTAGTGCTTCCACAGTTTCCAAAGGTATCCCCTCGGGTGTACGAATGTGCATTGTAGTACCGCTGGAATCAGTTACAATAACGATGCCCTCTGCCCGAGACAAAACAGCAGTGTCTGGATGAGACAGGATAAGCCCATCTGAAGTCTGAATAAAAATCTGTTCGTGTCCCTGAGACAAAAAATCATGGCTCTCATCGGAAATCTCAAAAGCTACAGTTTCATCTACAGTTACTGTATTCGCCAGCTCATGTGCTTCCTCTGTCCCACAAGAATAGTCAGTCTGGTTTTTAAAAGCATTTTCATGGTTCACATGAGCAGACAGGGAGGCTCCCTGGACAGCGTTTGGGTGCGACTCAGCCTGAGCACTGTGTGGGTAGTTTATTGGCACAACATTTGCTGAAAAAACCTTTTCAAGTTCCTGCATCTCATCAGTCATACCAGCGTTACGAAGTTGCTCAGAATGTTCTTTAATTGCAAAATCAGGGTTTTCTTCTTGCAGTTCCTGATATTTTTGACTGTGGCCATTTTCCTCCTTCACTGGTAAGCCAGTGCTCTGACTGCCCCCTGCGTGCTCCGACACGGAGCTGCAAAGTTCCGGAGCTGCCAGTCCACCCACCACATTCTCGCTCACAAAGTGCCCTTGAACCAGCTCTGGTGAACCATCTGCTTCAGCAGGCAGCACGACCTCAGTGTGCACCAGGGATGCGTCACCCGCCAGATCTGGTCCCTGTATGTTCACAGGCTGGGAATATTCTATCCTCATTTCCACAGTCTGGGAGAAGGTACCTGAATTTTCAGCAGCGATGCTAACTCCTGAATCAGCAAGTGAATTATGTTCCTCTGCTGTTGGCAATGTACTTCCAGTTGTGCAGCAAGTGATATGCCTATCTTCTGAAAGCAGGATTTCTCCATTTAATGGATTAAAACCTGAAAAGGGGAAAGACATATAATTTTGTTGGGCAATCTAATACTGCATGACCAGAAAGCTATTTTTCAGCAATAATTTTGGAGGGAAAGCTAGACTACTTCCCTGCTTTCTTCCCCCAAATTAGCAAACCTGAAGCACCTACAAGTTCCACAGAACTTCCCAATGAGAAAGTCAGTATAAAAATACTTAAGGAATTTTTGCATAATGATATATTATCAGTATTTCTATCGTAAGATATATTAAAAAGCATAATTTTTCTGTTAATTCTGAAAACAACCTGGTCTGAAAGTCAAACTCAATTTTCTTCCATCTGTCATGCAGTCAGTAACATTAAAAGATAAAGACTTCACCGGGCACAAACTTGTCAGCTGCTCATCCCCATCACCATTAGGAAGCTGACAGAAGCATTTAAACTTGATAAAATTTCTGTTGATAATTAAGCTCATCCTGGACTCAGACATGTCATCAAGTTATTACATATTAATTAACTGTGCTAACAGCCCCAGCAGCACTTTCTTCCTGTGGCAGAAAAGGTAAAAAACACTAGAAATGCAGTGTTTTACCAATTACTTGACCTGGACCAAGTGCCAGATCACAATAACTACTGAGATGCAGTAGTATGACCTGCCAGTTTTTATTATTGCAGGTCAAAAGAAACAAGTAGGTTGGTTTGGGGATTTTTTGTTATGAAAGATATCACTGCACAACAAAGGAGGCCTAACAGTGCAGAAGGGACTATTTTTAACTTTTTGCACTGTAGACTAGCAAAAGCCCGACTAGCAGATACAAGTGAAAAAAAAAATTTTGAAAATTCATATCCCAGAAAAAAACCACAGTACAGCAAGAAACAAGCATGGTCATACAGAGAAAGAAAAACAAACTAAGTGGGGGAAACAAAAACCACTGTTGACTAAAAGA